CTACTTGGGAGGCGGAGGCAGGAGACTCGCTTGAGCCCAGGAGTTGGAGGTTGCTGTGAGCTGTAATGCCATGGCACTCTGCCCAGGGTGACAGCTTGAGGCTCTGTCTCAAAAAAAAAAAGAAAAGAAAAGAAATCTTTCTCAATCCCGTAGCCCTGTAGGTCTTTCTTCACCATGGGCTGTCCAGCACAGTTAAGGCAGAAACTTTAATGTCAAGCTTTTTTGTTCATTCATATATGTGCATACACACTTTCACATGTACATACTTCAAAAACCTTTAAGCTGTACAGCGTACAGAGTTGATTTATATGGCTGATCAGATCCAGTTTTTGTAGGCATTTCATTACAAATGAACAAACCCAAGTGATGATAATAATAGAAAATTGCATTTATACTTCAGAAAAAATCTTTTAAAACCTAACCTATTATAAATTTGGCTAGCCTGTTACCCGCCAACAGCAGTGAGCAGCCCACCAGCTGGACCGAGTAGGACTGCTAAAACCATGTAGATCAGAGATAGCTAACTTCTCCTATAAAGGGCAAATAAACATTTAAGGCTTTGTAACCACATAAGCTCTCTCTGGCATGGTATATTCTTTTTTGTATTTTTTGGGGGAGGGTACGACATTTTAAAAATGGAAAAATCATTTTCAGCTTATAGGCTATATAAAAACAAGCATGGGTCAGGCTTGGGCAGTGGCATGCCAAATTCTGCAGCACATCAAATTGTTTATTTCACAGACAAGATAACAGAGGTCTAGAGCCTAAGTTTGCTATAGATCAAAATGAGTGTTTCCTGATTTCACGTCTAATAAGGTAGCAGAGAATAACAGTAACTCACTAAGTATATCCAATACAGGTTCATCGCCAATGGGGTGAAGAAATTAAGAATACAAAGTTTTATCCCAAAGTTCAGATTCTAAGTTTTAAATGTTACCCTTATAACCGATAACATGACAGCTGCCGGAAGTTTTGGGGCCATGGAGTCAATACAAAATGTAACGTCAGTGACACCCTCTCTATTCATCAGTAATGATCCCCTAAAGAAACATGGCCACATACATCCTTGTATGCAAAGAAAGTAAGTTGTCCTTATCAGAGAAAGTTTATTACAAATGAACAAACCCCAGTGATGATAATAATAAATGGGAAGCTGGGAAAACATCAGACAAAGGTTAAGTCTGAAACCCATTTTCCATTTGATAAGGCACATAAATTTTAGAGAACTCTTATTTTAAAGAGAAATCTAAACATCATACTTACATTTGGAAGCTGACACAATTCCTGGAACATAAACATGGGCTCCTCTTAACACCGCATTGCCACACTGGGCTCCAACAACTGCTTCACACTGTTGATTTTGTATATTCTTTCTAGGGATGTAAAAGACAGGAGAAATTTAAGAGGAATATACCTCTAATGCCGACCTACTTTTTCAGTGTTTCGATCTAAACTCAAATAACCTCTTTGATCTCAACTATCCTCAATAAGTGAGAACAAGAAAGCTAAAAACAGGAGGGACAAATATAGAGGAAAAACTTAAAAAATAAAAGAGAAAGAAAAAAGAAAGAAAAGAAAAAGAGGATGGGCACCCGAGAAAGGGAAAAAAATTGAAAGAGGTCCACCTGGTGGAAGCAATAAAGTGGCACTACAGACTGCTTCATCGTTTAACAAACATGACTGCTTCCCTTACACCGCTGGATAAAAACAGATGTCTCTGTCTTCAAAGACGTCTTAGGAAAAAACACAAAGAACTACAAAAATATTTCTCAATCAGTAAACTGCTGCATGGTAAACTACTGAGTCTTTTTTTCCTTCCTTTGCTGTCCAACCTTTCTGAGTCTCATTCTATTCATTTCTTAGACTACGAAAATCTGGGTATCCCTCTAACACTCATGGAAGACTTCTCCAAAGATCAAAGGTGCCAGTGTGAGTAGCCTTGAATAAAAGGCCTATCTACCCTGAAATCCCGAGCACTGAGTCTCTCATGAGCGTCCCTGGTTGGCGGTTCATGTTTTGTCACAATTCATTTCTGGGAGAATTAAGTGCGTGCCGCCACTTTCTTTCCATGATCTTCAAAGTACCAAATCTCACTAAATTCTCAGTTCCTTCCTGGTCCCAGTCTTTTTTTTTTTTGGTCACAGAGTCTCAAGCTGTCACCCTGGGTAGAGTGCCATGGCGTCACAGCTCACAGCAACCTCAAACTCTTGGGCTTAAGCAATTCTCTTGCTTCAGCCTCCCAAGTAGCTGGGACTACAGGCACCTGCCACGACACCTATTTGTTGTTGTTGTTGTTGTTGCTGCAGTTGTCACTGTTGTTTAGCTGGCCCGGGCTGATTTGAACCCATCAGTCTGGGAGTATGTGGCCAAGCCCCTACCCACTGAGCTACAGGCACCGCCTCCCAAACAGTCTTCCTGCTCATTCTCTACCTAGTGCTTTAAGAGGCTCATTCTTCCAAGTTCCAAAACATGCCACCATCTCTACCAACTTCCCATTGTAGCCCTTGGCAATCTCCTAATTTCAGTAATCACTTACAAAACTAACCTGTAAATTCTAATGTTTAGCTTTTCTAGATTCTGAACTGATACTTCTATTAATAATTATCTGCAGACAGCTATATATACAGAAGGTGCCAAAAAATGTATACACTTTTAAGAAAGGAAAAAAACTATTAAAATTGTAATACTCAATATGTACCAATAACGTTTATTATCTTGTACACATATATTGTCTCCTGTATCTTCTGTAATTGCAGAAATCAAAGGTGACTTTGAGTATTATGATTACAATACACCTTTTTCCTTTCTTAGAAAGCGTATACATTTTTTTGGCACCCTCACTATACAGAGGCCTCACAGTTACTTCAAACTCAATTAGACATAAACAATGTCTTGAATACAAAAGCAAATTGCAGAACATTATGTTTTCTACTAAGTAACCACACACACACATTCACATATGCAAATATAAGCACAGAGACTGTCTAAATGAATTCAAAGTCAAAGCTCAGAGAAATAGAATTAGGAGGTGGGAAGGGCAGTGATTATTTAGTATTTATGGACAATTCTAATTTTTACAGTTTTGTCTTACTTTCATAAAGAAGAAAAATCTAATTAAACTATATCCTTTTAAAAAAGTAACTAAAGGTAAAGAAAAGGGTATTTAACAGAGTAAGAAATGGCCAAATTTTGAACCTAAGTAACTACCAGTTTGTATCCTCCAAAGGACTGTAACTTCAAAAGACCTGTGATTGTGATCTACTATAGTAGCTGAGTACAAAAGAACTTTCTGGGGAAATGGAATGAGTCTTGGCTACATAGCTGTACGTATTTGGCAAAACTCAGCAAAGTATACATTAAGATCTCTCCATTTCATTACATGTAAATTTTACCTTTAAAAACTGAATAGAATGAGAAGCCTATAAAATGAATTTTTTTTCCTTTTTAGAGATAAGACGTCTCACTCTGTCACCAGTTAGAGTGCATTGGTACAATCACAGCTCACTGCAGACTCAAACTGCTGGGATGAAGTAACTTCCTGTCTCAGCCTTCCCTATAGCTAGAACTACAGGCACATGCCAACAAAGCCAACTAGTTTAAAAAAAAAAAAATAGAGAAAGGGTCTTGCTATGTTGCTCCTGCTGATCTCAAGCCCCTGGCCTCAAGAGATCCTCCTGCCTTGGTCTCCCAAAGTGCAGGGAACAGGTGTGAACCACCACAGTTAGCTTTTGGTTAACTGCAAAAATAATACATTCTTATGGTGAAAGAAAAAAAAACCAGAAACTTTACAAATAAAAGCCTCCTTTTATTTACACCCTCTGTGTCAATCTAACCTCCTCTAAGTTAACTACTACTAAGAGGTAGGTATGTTATAGCTTCTAGGTTTTTTCCTCCATGTAAATAAACATACATAAATGCATAGTTGTACTTTTAATTGCAATAAAAGTAATTATCCTAAGCATAGCAATTTACTTTTGATACTTAAAAATTGATCATGAACATCTTCTTTTACAGGTTACATAAACTACTGTATGCATAAACCATGATTTACCATATTTTGCTGTGCATGATGCACACTATTTTGCCCTAATTTTTGAGGGAATAAGGATGCACATTATACATGGGTAGTACTAATTCTGTATCATTATAAATGTTTTTAATGTTCTTTTATTTATGCTCATACATTAGAGGTTTAACTCTAGGAACAAATAATTATATCTATATGAGATATCCCTCATATGTTATCTTATATCCCACCCTGGAACATGGTGATCAGTTTTGTTGAACTTGACCACAAACTTGCAACATAAACTTTTTCAGCCAACAAAGACTGACCTATTTATTTTATACATGTTAGGTGGGAGCTAGCTACACCTTAAAAACAAGGTAGTGTTTTTACAAAATTTGTTTATACAGAAAACAAATACCTAAATTTAAACTAATAAAAATGAATCTAAAATTAAAACAGAAGATTTTCCTAAAATTTTAGGCCAAAAATTTAAGTGCATGTTATACCTGGGAACACATTTTATACAGCAAAATATAGTGACCGATTGCTCTATTGTTAACAGCTAAACTACTTCAAAGCTTTCCCAAAAAAGCATTTTTATATGTATTATAACTCAGTGGTTTAGGAAATTTTCATCCTATAATTAAGAACTTTAAAATGCTCTGTGAGAAGAGAACTCCCATTATATGAAAGCCCATTTTTCTTTTTCTTTTTATCTATTTCTTAATAATCATCTAAAGATTTCTATCCTGCCAGAACCCAGCTTATCACTCTTCCTTTTATAAGTTATACCCCATTGTTTGTCTTCACTTAATTTTTAATAACCATTTTAAAATGTCCCCCTTCCTGGGAAGTGTCTTCTGACTCGTCCCCACACATCACCACACTCTTGTTAACTGCCCTGTTTTACTAGTATCTATAAGACCCAAGAGGGGAAACTGAGTCAGCCAATTTGCTAAGGCTGCTTAAACTACTGTTTGATTCATCAAGAACATCACACAGCATTCCAAGGTAGCAGGGGTGCCCTTCACCCCAGGCTTTACCATGACCTGGGTAACTGGCACATTCAGCAGGTGAATGTTTCAGTCGTCACAGAACCAGGTCCACGTGGCTTGGCCATGAAGCACACCAGCTGGGTTGCACCATGTAACACTTAAAGGGCGAGCTGGGCGTTTCCTGTTCTCAGGGTAAACAGACCCTGCAGTGGCTTTTATCCAGCCCCCCAGGCAGGCTGTTCCCTGGGGAATGACCTCCTGTATGGGTGGACCACATAAACCTATCTGTGATTGTTCAACAGTGAGCTGTGGGGCCCACATCAACCCTAAGCCTACTTTTTAATTTTCAAACATATGCCTTTCAAATATGTAAATAAGTAGAACATAAATGGCATATTGTAATCTTATGTAGCTGTTGAATTATGAATAAAATTTTACAAACATACCAGGTATGAAGGCAGGAAATACATCACTTCATGTCGGTGGTTTTCAACCTTCCTGACGCTGCGGCCCTTTAACACAGTTCCTGTGGGTAGCGACCCGCAGGCTGAGAACTGCTGCTTTATGTTTGTTACGGCCAAAAAATGTTTTAATTTAGCACCAGTGTCTCATCATAAATACAAGTGAACAAATGCAATAAAGTTTCTAAGAAAGTGGGGGAAAAAGGTTAATTACTGCACTAAATAGACAAAAAAGGCATTATTCTCAAGATACTTGGGCAGTTGCCACTCTTGTTTATGGTATTTTCCATGACAGAGCATGGAGTCTGCATTTATAAGTTTTTGAGTTCTTGTTTATCTATATAAAGTTGCTAACAATATAGAAACTTAGCATTATCAACAAACAGTAAAAAAGATCCTTGTGACAAACTTTCACTTAGAAGAACATAGTTTGGAAACAAAATAATTACAAACCTAGGTCCAATAACAGGAATAAGTAAGATATCCCGAAGGTCTGGATGTTGGAGAATGGGAACAGTTAACCCATTAAACTGCTGTTAAGAATAAACAAAGATAATTATAAGGCAATCAACCTATTTGATAAATTTCAATTCATAAAACCTTTCAGGATCATTAACTGGCCAGGTATAATTATCTACCCCAGCAAGAAGCTCTGGTAGCTTCGGGGCACTTTCACTTTATTCCACAGGATACTAGAAAAATCAAAAAGCCCTAAAAACAACTATATTTTCTCTGTAATTTCATTCTGAAGTATCCTGACTTCTTTGTAAGACTCAATTTCACTCAGTATTTAGCATTATAAACACAAACTATGTTTACCTTAAGTGACTTATTTTAGAAACGTATCCAATGAAGAAGTATATGTAGTATTCATTAAAGAAAAGCTTCTGGGCTCGGCGCCTATAGCTCAACCGGCTAAGGCGCCAGCCACGTACACCTAAGGTGGTGGGTTCGAATCCCCAGCCCAGACCCGCCAAAACAACAATGACGGCTGCAACCAAAAAATAGCCGGGCGTTGTGGCGGGCGCCTGTGGTCCCAGCTACTTGGGAGGCGGAGGCAGGAGACTCGCTTGAGCCCAGGAGTTGGAGGTTGCTGTGAGCTGTAATGCCACGGCACTCTACCCAGGGGGACAGCTGGAGGCTCTGTCTCAAAAAAAAAAAAAAAAGAAAAGAAAAGCTTCTGAAGCCAGTAGACAACTGTGGGATCCGGGGCACTAGGTTGCCGGCCCCAGCCCGTGACACTGCCAGGATGTGACCGGGGTACAAGCTCGTTCAGGGTCTGGCTCCCAACAGGTGCCGGGGAGCCTGTTGTCTCAGTGAGGTAAGGCTCCCCATCAGGAGGAGCCAGAGCGCCTCCAAGACGCAGCAGTCAGTCTTAGTAGGAGCCTCGACTCACTCCTCCTGTGGCTACTTACAGACGTGATCCCGTGGCTATTTACCCCACAGGTGTGGAGACTGCCAAGCAATGATGATGTTATGTGTTCTCGGGCTTTTTAACGAGGGATCAATCCCTTCCCCATTCCCTTATTACCAAGGTGTTTCTTTTCAGGTGTCTCCTATAGACAACCTAATACATACCCACATAAGAGAAAAAAAACTCAATTCAAGTTGGAGAGAGGAGGGGAAGGATGCCCCACTTAATGGGCACAATATAAGAGTATACACACCTCTTGGGCTCAGGAGACAACTACAATAAGGACTCTACCTAGCCAATGCAAACATCATAACCTAATTATACCCTCACATTAATCTGAAATAAGAAAAAAGAAAAGAAGAAAAGCTTCTGAATAGGACATGGAAGCGTGAGACCACTAAATACTATTCAATTACACTATCAACGCTGGATGCCAACTCAGTTTTGGTGAGAGAAATAAATGTGTGTGGTAGGGGTTCAAGATTTTCAGAATCCTCTATGGTACTTTGTTGTCACACTGAAAACAGGTGTAGGGACAGTGGTACAGGTGCCAGAACCAGTTTACACAGGCTCAAGAGTGCCACTGGCCATCCGCATCTCTTCCCAACTCCATGGTCACACGGGAGGCTCCCACAGTACAACACAGTGGGAGTATTAACATCATGGAAATCAGCGAACACAACAGATCAGGGTTATTTTTCCCAAAAGTGGGTTGTTGAATATGTACCAGTGTACCACTGCTGCAGGCAGAAGATAAGTGGGCACCCCACGCAGCAGAATAAGGAGCAGTGGACTGGACCACAGGGACTGGACACTCTGTCAGAGGGTGGCAAGTTAATATTTGAGTACAATCTGTGCCATGTAGGCTAGAGTTTACCAACTCATTTGTCTTCACAGACTACATAAAAAAGCAGTAACAACAATTCATATTTGCGTTGCCCTATAGTATCCATATGCTATATAGAAAAAAACTTCAAAAATCCACTTATTTATGTCTAAGTTGATAAGAAAAAGAAACTAACTGCCCATATTTCAGAAATCTAATTACCTTTCCACTAAGTCACAAGCTCTCTACACTTTCGCTGCTCCCAAAGGATATTTCAGACTATAAACATACCCAACAGATAGCCAAGAAGCAGTATGAAGGGTAAACTCCTTATTCATCAACCCCTCCCTCTTCTCTATCCCTTCCTCCCTCCTTCATTGTTTTGATGTACTGACAGAATTAACTGTAAGAAACAGATCTTTTCAAAGACAATGAACTGTCATTTTCTGTTTTGTTTTATAAGTACTATCTGCTTTATAGTCCCACCTGCAACGTATGAAGGTTTGTTTCTCCATTTCTCAGTAGCCAATGAAATTTCAAATTATTAAATTTTAATAGATGGTCCAGAGAAACTTTGGGGAGAAGCACCTACTTCTAAATCACACTTTTCAGGGCATCTTTTAGGGGCGTATGTGAGCTTTGGAACATGAAAGGAGAAAAGAAATGCATAGGTTTTTTGTTTGTTTGAGACAGTCTCACTATGTCGCCCTGGGTAGAGTGCTGTGGCCTCACAGCAACCTCAAACTTTTGGACTTAAGTGATTCTCTTGCTTCAGCCTCCCAAGTAGCTGGAACTACAGGTGCCTGCCACAACACCTGGCTAGTTTTTGCTGCAGTTGTCATTGTTGTTTAGTTGGCCTGGGCCAGGTTCAAACCCACCAGTTTAAAGCTGCTCTAATCATCAGTTTTGTATACAGTGACTCAAGAGTCCCTGTCCAATCTTAACCTTTTTGTTTTGTTCCCACTGTTTCTATAATCATTAACTTTAATGGTCTGAGTCCAATCTTAACCTTTAAGGAAAGGGACTCAAAGCTCAGACAGATGTTGTCTTTCCTATCCTAGATCCAGTCCATAAGATCTTATATACACATCAGACTAAGATACTAGAAAACTCAAATTCTACGATTAGCTAGAAACAATCTGAGCCGGGCTCATGCTGTTAATCCTAGTACTTTGGGAGGCTAGGAGGATTGCTTAAGCCCAGGAGTTCAAAGTTACAATGAACTATGATTCTACCACTGTACTCCAACTGGGGCAAGAGAGGAAGACCCTGTCTCGAAAACATAAAAACTAAACAAAGAAACAAAAACAACAGTCCAGATCTGCCTAATGGGTCTCACAACAACTTCCACCAGTTGAAAGCATACATGCATGGCTATGTACCAGTAAGGACGCTAGTTGCTTAGAGCTACTGCTTATACTTTATGCCTAATGTCATTGTTCTTAAGATTATCACGACCTGTAAGTAAAAATCTGATTAATATCAAAGTCTTTTAAACTAAGTTAGCTTTCATGATCCTTATCTTTAAAATTAGCATGTTAGCATGTAATCTGTAGAATTTTAATGGGGAACAACAAAACATAAATAGTAAAAATGTAACTATGTATAAAACAACGAAATTTTCCACAAACCTTCTTAAGTTCATCAAGTAACAGATTTTTCACATGTTGAACTGAAGTTAAATTTGTGTTCACTCTGACAGTTGTGAATGATGGAGGATGTGACAGGTGATATAATAGAGTTTCAAACTTCTTTTCTGCTTCTTGTTTACCCAAAGCAGATATAACCTGAAAAGAAAAGAACCAGGGTTATGTTTCAATTTCATTTTCTGAATTAAAAACATTCAGAAGAATATGCTTATGAATCTGTTCCATCTAATGAAATATCTTATAGCAAATGTTCACTTCCATTTCATTTTGCTGTATTATTTATGTGGTAATCACAATTAGGGGACAGTAATACTTCACAGGGTTCTTGGGCTTAATTGTAGTAATAAACAATATAATGCCTGACATAAAGGGCTTAAGAAAACGTTGCCTCAACTTTATACCACTGTTAACACTTTGAAAATATTTAGTTATGTCACATTTTCACATAAATTCAGGATTTCGTTCTACTTATTTATAATACATCAACTGTTAACAGCACTCCTGTAGAGCTTTTACTTGCTAAGATCGTATCCCAGAGCAAACTGGTTAGTAGCCTTTTAACATACCAATATTTAAAGAATAAATAACATTGATATACTCACTGTCAGCCAGAGATTCCCCCAGGACATCAGCTTTTTAAATGTGGTATTATTAAATGTAACAAGTATTGTCCAAAAAAGATGGGTAGCAAAGATACCTGTCAGAAATGAAGGTATAAAGACTCAAACAACTAGGTTCCCTTGTACGTAATTGGAGCTTCTCCTGCTTTGTCATTTTTAACTATACCCTGTTTCTCAAAAGTATTTGTCCTTTCTCAAAGATCAATTTTATTTGTACTGAATATTCCTTTTCCTCAGTACTTTTTCACAAAGGGGTAGTTTTTTGGGTTTTTTGGTAAAACAACAGTTAGTGGATTAAGGTAAAGGTGATGTCAAAGAAAAATATCTGATCTTCTGTTTTAACACAGTGTTCAACATCTTAAAAACTGCTGAATGCCCCTCCTTCTCCTACTATTTTCCTTAGAGTTTAAGGAACTTAAATGAAGAGAACTGTATTTTTTCTTTCCACAGTCTAGTTCCTTAACGCAATCTTTGGAAATAAAATGTAGAAATCACATCTAGAAGTCATAGCTTCAACAATGTATTCAAAAATGAGTAACATTTAAGTGGCTTTCATTTGATGAGAAAAGCAAAGATTTAGAAAAAAATCAAAGTTGCTTAGAAGCAGTAGGGTCAAGCAGAATAGAGCACAGGCTTTACTATCAAAATTCACTGAGGACTTTCCTGCTAGGCACTGCCAACAGCAATAATATTAACATTTTTGAGGATTTATGTGCCAAAACGATGCCAGTTGCTTCTCCTCACGTTTAATACCCTAAAATAATCTTGTAAAGTACTTTGAACCATTCGCGCTTTTCACAGAAGAGGAAACCAACATCAAGCAATGGAAAGTAATTCACTCAAAGCACTGGAATCCAAATCACCTGGCATTCAAAATCTGTACTTTTTCATTACACCTAAGCGCTTTACCTTCAGAGTTCAGTAGTTGTTTTGACAGCTGTGTCTACTTGCATCCATTTCTTGGACCCTCAGTTGTCTCACCTATTAAAATGGGTACAAACCTCTACCAGAAAAAAGATGATCACAACGTAAAAGTTTGCAAAACACCTGACAGCACTACTGGGATTTAAGGAGTCCTCAATAAATTACAGAACACTTTTAACCTGAGTGCCACAGCAAGGGCGCTAAGAGTACAGGTGCATCTTCTATACTGGACCTGAGTTCTCAAGAACAGGGACCTTGGCCAGGCGCGGTGGCTCACGGCTGTAATTCTAGCATTCTGGGAGGCCTAGGCGGGTGGATTGCCTTTGCTTGGGTGCTCAAGACCAGCCAGATCAACAAAAAAAGCCAGGCGGCTCAGGCGCCAGCCACGTACACCTAAGGTGGCGGGTTCGAATCCCCAGCCCGGACCCGCCAAACAACAATGACGGCCGCAACCAAAAAATGGCCAGGCGTTGTGGCGGGCGCCTGTGGTCCCAGCTACTTGGGAGGCTGAGGCAGGAGACTCGCTTGAGCCCAGGAGTT